GAGAAGTGCTCACTAACACAGATTTAGACAGATTTGTGAACAATATTTGAGAGAAATAGGCCTTTTGTGTACATAGAAAAAGTCTTAGATCTTTGAGTCCAGCTCAGCAAAAACAAAAGTGTTGCATTTATAATTTTGTTCAGTGTACATACAGTCTTTACACTTCATATTCTAATCTATATGTCGCATTCAAAAAAAGTACCGTGATATTACCGTGGTGTTTTGGACATAAAACTCTTTTGAGCCAATTACCATGTCTTGTCTAACAGACATAGTCAACAATTTGAACCCTACTACCTCTTCTCTTGACATTGTTCCTACTAATTTTTTTAAACAGATATTTGACAGTGTTGGGGCATGGATCCTGTTAATTATCAACAAAAGCCTTCTCTCAGGATCTGTTCCTGCTCTTTGTAAACAGACCAAACAAAGTAGTTTTGCTTTCACAACGAAGCACACAGCGTCTTCACGACATGGCGGCAGCGGCAACAACAATACTACAGCGAGAATAAAAGTTACGCCTTCTTTCTTTGCGTGAACATTTGGGCGGCGTTATGCAAATCTTCCCACATAGTGAGGTAGATATGTGGGGGCGTGTTCGAACGAGCCGTTTTAGGTAGGTGTGGCTGACTCTTAACTTTTATAAAGAATATCTCTTTGGATTTGAGACTTTAGTCTTTGCAAATTTACAGATCTTCTTTATGCACCAAGAGCTTGTAACACTCCAAAGAGAAAGGAAAAAATGAAATTGCATCATATGACCCCTTTAAGTTTGATCAACACATAAACACAGTAGTTAAGTCAGGCTTTTTTCATCTGAAACTTCTGTCTAGAGTAAAGCCGTTTCTGTCCCCCAAAGATCTTGAAAGAGTCACACATGCTTTCGTTTTATCTCGATTGGACTACTGTAATTCTTTATATGCTGGAATTTCCCAGTCCTCTATTACAAGGCTTCAAATGGTGCAAAACGCTGCAGCCAGATTTCTAACGGGAGTCCGCAAATGCCAACATATTACTCCTATTTTAATGGCTCTAAATTGGTTGCCGGTTCGTCATAGAGTCGATTTTAACATATTGATGTTTGTCTTTAAATCCCTTAATGGTCTTGCACCCTCGTACCTGTCTGAACTTTTAAATCTGAACACATCAGTCAGGTGTCTGCGGTCCGCAAACAATTACTCTCTAGCTCAGCCTCGAACACGACTGAAGTCAAGAGGGGATCGTGCATTTGTCGTTGTTGGACCTAGGCTCTGGAACAGTCTTCCTCTTTATCTGAGATCCCTATCCTCTGTACATGAGTTTAAATCGAAGTTAAAGTCTTATCTTCTGGCCCGAGCTTTTTAGCAATTCTTAATTATGTTCTATTTAAGTTTATGTCTTATTGCTTTCTTTCTTTATCTGTATCTTAGTTTTATATTCTGTAAAGCACTGTGGTCAACTCCTGTTGTGTTTATTTGAGCTATATAAATAAATGAAATGAAATAAAATATCAAGGTAGGCCTACATGAATTCCTGTATCGTGCTGTCATGGTATTTTTTTAAAGGGGTATTAAACAAAATGTTGTTTACTAAAAAGTTGCATATATTAGTAGTAGTAGTATAGTAGTATAGTAGTAATATTTTGTGCTTATTAAAGTCTTTCTATTTGTAAAAAAGTCTAAACAAGGGATCTGAATTTGCTGTGACAAGAGTTGGAAAGACATTTAGCATTTACTGGACAAACAAATTCACTTGACTAAAGTACTGGAGACTAAAAAAATCTCAGTGCAATATGTTGCCTTGATTTTCCCCCCCTCAACTATTAGCTATTTTTAACAGTTTGGTTGTGTGAGGTACTTTTTGGTGAAAAGTTGTGAAAAGCCAAAAATCACTTACATGACACTGCCATGATGTTTCATTTTCCTTTCACCACCACTTTTTTTTTTTTGACACTGTTAGTAATTCCTCAACCCATCTGTTTTTTGTTTTGTTTTGCTGTTCATCATATGTGACATACAGATAGATAAAAGTCACCAGACAGGAACCGACCAACAGAAGGTTATCTTGGTATAGTTGTACATTGTAGACAGTAATGGCTGTTCTGATGATCTGACTGCAGTGACAGGGGCGGCTCTAAGGGGACTTCCGCTCTCATCTGAAAGCAACATGAACATACAGCAGTGTGTCACGCTGACAACAAGGCGAGAGAATGAAAATAGAAAAGAAAAAAAAGTGTGGTTGTCCATTTCCTGTCAAAACCTTTTGTCTGCTGATGCTGAGAGTAAGAACTAGGAAGAGAAACTCAATGCTCGCTCTTCAGTCTAGTCACCGGTAGTGCAGAGGAGATCCCTCGTTCTCTTCCACGGTCTCTTTCTTTCTTTCTCTTAGAGTTTCATTTTTTAACGGTTTGTTCCATGAGCATATGAGGCCATGAAGCGAGCATCGAAGGGGAAAGGTCAGGAGCATGTGGGCAGCTCTCTGCTCAGTCCACAGGAGAATGAGAGGCTGGAGGATCTGCTGGGCAGGAGGTGTGTGGTAAGTGAGTTCAAGGGCCTTCAGTAAAAGCCTAAGGGAAATGTACACTTTGCAGAGGGAAGATGGGTAAAAGTGTTATCTTGATGAAATGGAGTGACATCTGTGCAAACCGTGGGCCAAAATTTGACTGCATGCTTTGAAAGCATTTGAAAACACACACTGTCTAATGTGTTTACTTATTTGTCTTTATCACTGTTGAAATTTGTTTTATGGCTTGCAAGATAGTATTAAAAGTTTTACGCAACAAAATGATATTTTAATTTTAATGAAAAAATTCAATTTTACCATTCAAAAATATCAAAATGTTTTGCAATATCTGAAGAAAAGAACTATTGACCATGAAGTTTTACTTCTCTTGTTGAGAAGCTGTCATTTATTGATCGCATTTTTTCAGTGTTTTTCCCCTCATTTATTTCATGTTATCACATTTTCACTTTTTCACAATTTTAAGTGGAAAAAGGGTTTGCTACACAAAAGTGACTTTATACTGTATATGGTGAACATTTGTAGATTTAACAGCAGTACAATGTTAAAAAGCACATTAAATGCAAAACAGTGTAACAGTTTAATCAAATCAGCATTATTTAGATGATTTGAACTTATGTTTTTCAAAGTATGAAATATTAGTA